TATTTTGCCTTTAATTCTCCACCAGCCACCTTCTTCTTCTTGCAATACTTTTCCTTCTTTCTGTAACTTGCGAAGATGGTGTCCCACAGTAAATGCTGCAGCCAACCATAGTTTTTCAGGGGTATCCTGTGAAAATGTTTTTAATTTCAATTAATTTCCTTGAAAAAGCAAATTAATTATTTGCATAAGCAATTAACTTATTGTATTTTGCATTATTTCAAATTAAAGCAGCAACTCGAGAGAGCGTATATTATAAATTCTTTAATCTCAATTAATGTTTACTTTGTATATGCGCTTGACGATATCCATCTCCGTCATCGATTTTACGTTTCCCTGCTCTTGCAGCATCCGTAAAATTTCCTCTTCTCTCTGCTGCCTGTGTTTGATGTAATACTTTATGCGTGGCAGGGGATCGTCGAGAACTGGCCCGTGACCCGGATAAATCGTCTTGGGCCGCAACTCCAGGATCTTGTCCAGCGACAGCATGTAATCGTGGAGATCCTCGAAGACCGACGTGCCTTCGCCGAGGATGCAGTCGCCGCTGAACAAGATATTCTCGTCCTGCAGCAGCAGGCAGGCGTGATCGCTGGTGTGTCCTGGGGTGTATTTTATCTGAAGCTTCGCTCCCTCGACCTCCACCACTTGATCGTTCTTCAGAGGTTCCCACTGGACGGACTTTTCATCGTCCGATCTGTCTTTGTCGTTCGGCGACCGTGGCAGTTTCCACACGATTGGCTGTTTGTCCGTGGGGTACAATTTCTTCAGCAAGTTCCGCACGGGCTCCACGCCACCAATGTGATCGTGATGCCAGTGGGTGACCACCAAATGCTCGATAGTCGCGTTCTCCTCGCTTAACACGCTGTCCAGAAGTTTTACGTAGGCGTCCGCCGTTTTTGCTTCTCCAGAATCAACCAGCACACGTCTGCAATAATGCATTTTATAACGCACGTTATTTTAATGTCGATAATTTATCATTTATCTATTTTTGTTTATTATTATATTTGTTAATTTAAAAAAACATATTTCTAATAGATAACTTAGTTAGTGTAACCATTATAAATAATATAATTTTTGTTTAAATATGTCTAACAGATTACTTATTTTAATCATATTAGAAATAAAATAATTAGAAATTATTGTAACTCTTCCTCAGACATTTTCAACTTTATTAATAATCGACAAAAATGTTTTCGCTCTCTTCTGCCTGATTAAACATTAAAACAAAACGTGTCATTGTTTTATTTTTAAGTTTTGAAAATGGCGCACTAGCTATTTACTGGCGCATGCGCGTGTTACAATTTTAGAGGGTAAAATTTAACCTAAAAAGAAATTGTACATGTAACTTTTAATTTCTCTTCGTTCCCCTTTGGTCTTCGAACGTGACAGTGGCAATTTCGATCAACATATTGTATCCCTTCTCACATATCAGAGCGTCATTTTTCGAAGTGTCACGGAAATTTCGAATTTATTAGCTCGATTAGCACGATTGGGATTGACATTGTTTTTTAACCTAAGATATCACAATTTCGATCGTCATTTGTTGAAAAAAAAAATACAGTTTAGTTTGACATACAGTTTCTCTTTGTTGGAAAGTACATTACTTCCGACAGTGTTTCTGTCAAACGCTTCATAATAAGATCAAGGTCCTATCCACCGTACGCGAATGACATTCATCACCTGCGTCCAGTGCCCACGAGGTAAGTGTTGGTGCCCTGCAGCGTCATCGGGCCAGGATTGCATCCTAGGATCCGGATCACTTTGCTGGAAAGCCTCGCTATCGGCGGCAGATTCGTCAAGGACGTCATAATCTTTTCACTCGGCAACTCGTTCACTCGCGGAATGTTTGTCAGAAGAAGCAAAAGGAGCAGGCGCACCTTGAAAGTTGAAACTCAGTCCACGTTCTCATATATTAAATACACGTTCGTTATCTTCATTCAGTGCGACTAGAGTGCGAGCCGAGAGATTATATCTTCTGCACTTTCTGCACTTACAATTTACAATAAGATAAATGTATTAAAATTTTTTTTTTCTTCAAGTTTTCTGTCTTCTCATCATGATACTGAATTCTTAATTGACGTCATTGACGAGATAAATCACGGGAATTATTCTTTCTTGTGATATGTCGAAACAAATTTGTTTTTGTTTTATTCGCATTATGTATAATATACATATGTATATACATAGATTTATATAAAATATATATTTGTTAATCGGTGTAGTCTATTAAAATACGTCATCACTATAATACTATGACTGCCGGAGTTAATTTCAGCATTGAGTTCTGGCAAGTCCAAAGTCGAGAAGTGTTTATATAAAGTACAATTGATGTCTATAAAATATGCAGAGTCAGCTAGATTATAGAATATACCCATATAACATCAAATGTATGTGTGCGTACATACATATATACATATATATATATTATTTATATATTATTATATATGTATATATTTAATAATATAATTTTAGATGCAATAAATAAAAATAAACTGTTTCTTTCAAACCGAAATAATGGATTTTTTTGTGATTTAAATGGATATACTATAAACAGAAAAATTAGAAAATTAATAATTTTAGCTGGGATATTATTTTTTGCAATAAATTCTTTACAATGATTTAAATTATTTAAAAGATGCTTATTATTAGCATATCTGGAAAATAAAACTGTCACCCTTAAATGCATGGACAATATGGATTTTTGCGGAAACTCCACATTGCACGTCACTCAGATATAGATAACGTAGATATCAAGGTATTACTTATTTAGGCTGCGGTCCACTTGGCGCTACAAATTTTTTGGAGCGTCTTCTTCTTTCTTCATTGAAAGAAAAGAGAAGAGGATCGAATGCTTCGAAGCATTTGTAGCGTCAAGTGAACCGCAGCCTTAATATATAAGTTGCAAAAACGTATGATAAACAAAATGGAGACTGAAAGAAATAAGCGCCGAAAAGTCAAAGCGCAATTAAAACTGCAAAGTTTTAAGTCACGAAAATTTAACACGCAATAGATAAATAAAATAAACAATAATTGAGTTTATAGAAAACTGTAAGAAATCAAATTAAAAATTAAAATTGCACGAGGCTGCAAGCGTAGATGTCCCGTGCAACAACACAATTCTCTATTTCTTATGTACAACTTGTAATACATTCGAAATCCACTCAAGTTCTATATATATGCATAATGTATATTTAAATTAAATAAAATTATACTTAATTTTAAATTAAGTAAAAAAAAATACACTTACCTCTTTCAAATTATCTCTAGATTCAATAGCATCAGTTCATAACGAAAAATACTGGATATATACAGAACTTTATCTACAGTTTTTAATTGTAATCCATTGCTTGAGATTCCAAGAGATGGCGCTTCGTGGTCTATCCAATTCGAACAATCGCCGTACATACATGCGGTTCATGCAATTCAAAATTAAAAAAGCATTCGCGTGCCGGCAATGCCTGTTTTGGTTCGGTGCGCAGAATATATAAATATAAAACTCGATATTCTTAGCCCTTTTATTTTAAAAGCGGCAGAGAAACTTAATAATAAAAAAATATCGATTTTCAGAAAATTTTAATTTGTATCACTCTAATTCAATGGGCCGATATTACAGTTTCCGATTAACGTGTGATCCTCCGATTAAACTTACTCTGCATCTCTTTCTAACTGTCCCCCTAGAGACGAAGATGGAGTGAGTTTAATCGGAGGATCACGTTAATCGGAGACTGTGATATCGGCCCAATGACACGAGACAGTTCGAGATTCGTAATTCGCTATTCATATGAAATTCGCGAATAATATGAATAATAGACATTTTTGTCAAGTATTTGTATTCGTCGTTTATCATTCTTTTTGCTATGCAAATTCGGCAGCGAAACAATTTTCTCTTTCTTTTTTACGAAATCGAAGAACGCGAATCTCCATGAATTGCGCACAGTCTGGCGCTAACTCCAACCATTCGCATGCGCGTTTGAAAACCCGGCCGATCGGCATTGCAGTTTTCTCGACCGTCGTTCATATGAAGGGCTTTGGCGCGCGGCGGACCGGGTGGTCTGTTTCGTCATCGGCGCTCGCAAAACGGTGAATGGTGTAACGCGAGCGTTTACGCGTGCCCCGCTGCCCTGCTCCGTATCGTGAGTGGTTCCGACGCGGAATTCTTCATCGCGATTGCACGCGTTTTGCTCTGCACGCGGGAAAACGAACGCGGCATATCGCAACGCGACGTACATACATACACGCGGGACCGTTAATATCCTTCCACGTGAATTTAGGCACTTATCTAAGCGTACGTAGAAAGCGCATACTCCGATAAATGCATAACTTCATCCATAGAGTTATCAAGGCATCAATATCTCTATATAGAAAAAAAAATTATATTGTATTAACAGCATCATTTTTTTCTAATTGAAAGTAATCTTATTAATTCAATATAACAGTATTAATAAAACAAATAACATTTTATTAAAACAAAAGCACGACAGGTAGATTAAAAATAAGTCTTATCCGTTCGGGCTGGATCTTTGTGCCTAATAATATTATTACGTGAAATTTATATACATTTTTTAGTCCAGAGCATGACATATTTATTTTATTAATATTTATTGAATTAATAGGATTATTTTGTTTACAGACTGCTATTAGCTAATACTGTTATTACACCTTTTTTTGTGTATGCAGAAAGACTTGCTTATGTAACTTCGTATTTTAATAATCCTTTTGTATAAAGAAATATTTCATGAAATGTATTTCATGATGATTGAGACCTATATGTACCGCCGAACGAAATCAATTCCTAATCATTTGATGACTAAGGGTGAATAAAACGCTGAAACATAAATAAATTATAATATAAATAAATTAAGTAACGTAATACTAGTTCGAGCAAAGCAAGTTTAAAATTATGATAAAAAATGTAAGGATGACTAACGTGTGAAGCAATGATGAATAACCCTCTCAGTATAATCTATTTTTAAATTTTGAAAAGCGAGATATTATAACAATAAGATATTTAAGCAATATTCTAAATAGCTGCATGGTTGACATTCCAAAGAAACTGTTCTAGATATAGAAGTGGGTATAGACTATTCAACAAAGCAACAAATAATTTAGGTCATAGACAATTACAGCATCAACGTGAACTTCCAAATTGAGGTTTGATTTTTATTCCTGCGTCATCGTGATTTGGTTTTATGTATTATGTATGTGAGTTTCGCTACATGTTTATCTATGGACGCTGACCTACTGACATGTTTATCTATGGATCAGCCATCGATTGCCCTCTTCCGTCCTGCCGTCAAAGCGACCCTATAAAAACGCACGCGTTTCACCTTCGCCCACCCGTCAGACAACTGCTATGTCGTTTGCGTCTTGACTTGCAGATCGCAAACATCAGACACGTCGCGTTCAAAGAGCGTTGATCGTCTCGTGAATTATTTATTGCGACACCATATGTCAACGGAAACGTGCGTGGCTACACGCTCCTCAATGAAACGCGGAATTTTCAGCCGGATTCCCATCCGACGCGATATCATCGATATTTACACCTACAAAGGTAGAAGAGATATATAGAAACCAAACGCATAGAAACAGAGGAATGTGATATGACCAAAGATTAGTTTACGAATTAGGTAGAAAAAAAGAGAAAAATTAGAAAGACTATGGAATGATGAACTGAATAGTGTAAAAAGGAATGTGTTGAAGAAATTATGGAGAAAGAAAGACTATTAGAGTGAGGAAGAGGAGAATTAGGTAGTATTAAAGCTTTGCTTTGGACGCTTTCGTGCTGAAAGCATCACTTCATCTTTTTTCAACATGTAATGAGCAATAAAGATAGACTGACGCTTTCAGCACGAAAGCGCCCAAAGCGAACGCAGCCTAAGTATGATGGATGGTATGAGTGAGTTAAGTAAATATTGTAAACTAAGTCCATGTAAACTGAAGTTAATAAAATATTATTATTATTATTATATTATAGAATGAAAAACACATAAAATGCATTCAAAAGTGCAAGAACAGAAGTTTCGCGCAGCTAGAATTTAAGCGCACGCACAATGAATAATCGTCATAAATTAGAAAATCGAAAAAGGGGCACCGATCTTTAACGCGCCATTTTATTTCGCTTGAGTTTTGATACGATTTTGTACTCGCGTGATAATGTCATCTCTCTAGGAACTCTTTATCTACTTGCAACAATGATAAATATAACGTATCTGTTATTGTAACAAATTATATAACAATTGACATGGAATTTTTTCGCATTAACTTTGTTGACACTCGATCTTCGGGGCTTCCTGAAAGTCCAGATAAGCATAATCGTTCATTTCGCAGAAGCTTCGCAGAAGCTTCGGCAATCGTAAGAATTCTCGCTGTCCATATACCCTTACGCGCCTGCAAAACAAGATCAACGACACTTTTGCGCGTTGCAGAGTTGTTTAACAATCGCAGATAAGTAGCGACCGCCGGAGGCCTCCGCCACGCGATCGGCGATCACGAGCCCGGTGGCTGATTCGCGATACGACGCACGCGAGGGACGTAATGGTAAACAGTATCGGGGCACATGGCTTTTTCCAGAAATAAAACAAACGGCTTAATTTAGGCTGGAGCACGATAGCCGTCCCATATATCTTCAACACCAATCAACCGAGTTGCGTTGCGTTCGAAGTGCACTTGACATACTTAATATGGATTTGTGACAATCGCCCGCATAGTTCGCGAAACTCATTCGCAGCAGACGATTAGAGTTTTTTTTTTTATACTTTATTTCCAAGATTAGCGTTTGTCGCTTTATATAGATTGTTGTATGTTGTGACTATTGAGATACATAATACAAATGATACAATATAAACAGTGTAATATGTACAGTGTAATACAAATAAGATTACGTTTAGTTGGTATTATAGTTTCTGAAAATTTTCTGTAAGATTCTACAAATAATGAAAAATCATTACGTTAAATAACGTTAAGTATAACGTGGTGATAATATCGAGCAATGTCTTTGGAACATGATCTGTCCGATCTATTCTTAAGCAAATCGCATTCAAATTCATTGCGTACGGCATACGGATTGAAAACAAGCTTGGGCGAGGGAGTGGAATTAACCATTCCGCGAAGTGGGCGGCCGATATATTTAACACAATCGTTGCTTAGGAGCTTTCCTCGTTACTTCCCCGTAACAGGGACTCCGATTTTTTCCGAATTTTCCGAGTACCCTTTGTAAACTGCGTTTTCGTAAGAAATGAAATAATTTGAATAAGGAAAAGAAAGGGTTACACAAGTTTATTTTATTACAAATATAAATGCATATATGCAAATATGCAATTACGAAACTTACTAAATTTAACGAAGAACCAATGAAACGTGGACGTAAATAATTTCAACGGCGTAGTTTCCGGAAAAAATGCGTGTCTCGCATACCGATTTACTTGGCAATGAAAAATTCTACCGTCAATTGTTGCACGCGTCCAATATGTAATCAACGATGTGCGTCCATCGAATCTGTTATCGCCGAAGGAAGGACGAAAGATAACATCAGCCCGACGAAGGCGATTTATCTCATGATTGTTAATATACGTACTCCTTCATCGTTCGATTGCCAGTCTCGCGATCTCTCTCGCAAATTTCCATTTTTGTCCTACCGAAAGTAAATTGACAAATAAACGTACAAAGACAAACTCTCGATGTCGGAGGACATATATCGAAATAAAAATACCGACAGTTTTTTTTTTTCAATATATTTATGATTTATCGCATTTATTATATCCACTTAGCTAACGTTTGAAAGGTCGCCCATATAAAGTTTTCGCAACAGCATTTCGGATGCGAGACACATAATATTTCTGCATTTGACTTTCCGATGTGTCATTGTTTTGCCGTTATGCGCAAATAGCGACGTAGAACAAAGTGTTCGCCTCAAGGTATCGGCTACTTCCATAGATCGCCGAGGGACCCGTGCGGGCTCCTTCCGGCGCTTTGTTTCTGCCGATTACTCCGGATGCGGGTTCGTCGCGACGTACCAGGTTGTGTTATAAGCAACACGATAAGGTAGAACGTTTTGAAATAATTTGCCTGTATAAGTGGGGAAAAAGAAAATTTAGTTAAAAGATGAGAAAGGATTATACAAAATGAGAGCATACAGTTATATAATCGACGTTACAATTTATTTTCAACTGATTTTTTATTTTTATTTATTGAACAAAACTGCATTATTTTTATCGGACGATCTAGAAGTCATAAGTACAAAAGCACGAAGAAAACTGCGATAATAATTATTTAATCACAGCCAAGTATATATTTTTTGAAAAGCTGATTTATTGAATATCTATTTTCTCCACAGTTGTTGACTGTGACTGATTTCGATTTGTTTAAGTTTTCTCGCGCGTGTACCTCCACTTTAATAAGATTGAAACAAAAAATGAGAAAAATATAAAAGAGAAAGGGAAAGAAATGAGAGCTCTTATATGCTATCACTTTGAATTTGAATTTCTTTAATTGAGAAACAAAATAACGATTTTACAAAATAAATCTGACAAAATTATGTAATTAAAAAAGAAAAACAACGATACAAGCAAAAAATATGTAGATCTTTATTGCTCAGGCTGCGGGTCATTGCATTCGCATAAAATAAGAAACGACGAGAGAGACGAAGAAATAAAGAGAGGGATAAAGCAAGACAAACATAAAAAAAGACCGAAAGAGAGGGAAAATGAGTTTGCAGCGAAGGACGAAGAGATTCACAGGAGCGAGAAGACGAGGCCGTTCGAGGTATGCGAACGAAGAGGGAAAGAGACACCGAGTCTCGCGAACTGGACAGAGCGAAATCGACGATACACAACATTAGAATAAAGCACGAGGAGGGTGGGGATGGAGAGGGTATGACGCTCGCGGGGCGCGCCATGACGCCATGACGTATCGACCGTGTTCTCCACGCGCGCTGACGTCACGATCACGGCCCGAGTCAGACCGGGAGCACGTGAACAGCACGCCTGCGATCACGCGGTCGCGGGCTGACCGGGCGGCGCCGATTGGCCGCCCGTCGGCGAGCCCCTGGCCGCGATTGGTCGCGCCCGCGCGCGCCGCGTGATCACGCACGCACACACGCAACGAGCGCGTCCCATAGCCAGGCGCGCCGACCTGAGAGAGCTTCATTGCTCCGTGAGACGCCCGTGAGACGCCCGCACGTTTACGCTCACTACTCGTCGCTCCAGTTTTGCCGACTGGTGGGCTCGGCGGGCGCGCGCGCGCGTACTCCGTGTTTTTCTTTCTTGTGGTTTTTTCCCTCTTAATTTTGCCTTTGACTTTGGGAGCGGTGTCCCGCGCTCGTTCTTGTCTTATCTCGTGTGGACCTGTGTTCGTCGTTCTGCGTGAATATGGATACGAATCAGGCGCCTCTTTCCCCGCCAGCCTCGCCCCAGCTGAAACATGTAAGTGCAGCAGCGAATTAAATATACCGCCATAACATCGCCCGCCGTCGCCCGCGAAACTCGAACGTTGTCCGTGATTTTGATTTTACGAAGTGTTAGAAAGTTTTGCTGTCTTTTTTGTGATAGTAAATCGTCATACTTATAGCAAAATAATAATTTTTCATTTACGAGAGATATTTACGAGGGATAGTTATATTAAAGTTAATGAGTTCTATATATTTTTATATTCTAAATTTATTTCACATTAATATACAAATTTGATTTTAATATTACATTAAATTTTAAACTAAAATTTTATTAAAGTTTAGTTTTGAGTTAACTGAAGAATAAATTTTATTTTCTGTTAGGATTATCGACATTTTTTGACATAATGAAATAAGATATAAAATTAATTTTTAAAACTGCAATTACTTTTCAAAAAGATAAGTTAGAAAAATATAATTATTTATCTATTCTACCCTTTAATTGCATTTCGTTATCGCATATTGCATTGAAAACATATTATTTATATTCCTTACTATATTATATATTTTAATATCTTATTATGTCTTGAGCTACAATAGATAATTCCATTCAGAGGGTATTTACACAATATGATCTCATTTAGCGAAATTGTGCGCTCACGCCTTCTTTTGTTTCACAGATGGAACCGCTGCAATTATCGTTCAGCGTTGCGGCTCTGCTGGGGGAGAAGCTTTCGGATCAGTCGGCGAGATCCAAGAGGAAAGACGAAGAGGACGCGGGTTCTCACCCGGTTCTACCGCCCACTCCACAGCCCTCCGACTCGGAAGAGGATGAGCCACCCCGAAAGCGGCGATGCGTCGAGCAATGCGAATTGGCGAAGGTAAACCCTTTCAAGATAACCTTATCGACAGACAGCTGCATTTTGTGACAAAAATATGTCTCCCTCTTGGCCTTTCTTTTTTCTTAGTTTCCCTTCGATTTATCGGCTCGTTTTAAATCGACTGGAATGGAGAGCGGGCCGGAGCTGTTGTAACATGACTCCGTTCGAGCGCGCACCATTTCATTCCTGCCACTTTTTTATCCTTCGAGTACGCGTACCTTCCAACGATATACTTTCATCAAAATAAATGCTATATCGGTCCCCTATTGATAAGTGGCTTGTGATATTGTCGCGAGTCGATAACACGAATTTATAGCATTCTCCGCCATATAGCTTCAAACATTTCTTCAATATACATATAGCTTCAAATTATTTCTTCTAAATCGTTATTCAATACATTACAATATGTTACAAATTTCCTCTATTTCTAAATCGGACATTAAGGTACACAATATTTATACGTCCTTCCGAATAGACTATGATTTTTTGTTTCTTCATCGAGCGTAAAGAAGTATCTTCATATACTTCAGAATAGGCTATAATGCGCGGTGCTCGTAACTTGCCCGAACTTCTCGAATACAAAGCTGCTTTTTATCGTTTCAGCTGCTACTAGACGGCACGCCGCCGCCGAGCCCGGAATTAGCCAGGGTTTCGGTAATAATGCGCGCCAATCGAGACGGCACCTGCAGTCCGGCTAATCTCGCTGGGTGCCCCACGATCAGCGGCCAACCGGTGCCACGTGATTTGCCCGCGCGACAGCCGCCCAGTCCGCGGGCGAACGTGCGAGCGAACGTAACGGGACCGGTGGAGAACGTGCTACGCAGCCTGAAGTTCAAGATGAGCTTGCGCAAGGAACAGATCATTGTGAACAGCAAGAATACTGATCGTGAAAGCTGCCAGCAGCAACAGCAACAGCAACAGCAACAACAGCAACAGCAACAACAGCAACATCAACAACAGCAACAATATCGACAACAGCAACAACTTCAGCAGCAACAGCAACAACCTCAGCAACAGCAGTATAAACAGCAACAACAGTTACCCAGATTGCAACCCCTGGCGCCCAAACCCACATCCATTGTGGTAGCAGGCTTACTGGGCTCGCCTCTGGTCTTACCGCGAACTCCCCTTCTGTTAGTCGCCAGCGCGGCGCCGACGACCATGACCACCGCAACAACCACAACGGCGAATGCAGGCGCAGCGGAGACACGGCGCCGCGTTTACGAGTGCGAGCACCCGGGCTGTGGCAAGAACTACTTCAAGTCGTCGCACCTGAAGGCTCACACGCGTACCCACACCGGCGAGCGGCCGTTCCCGTGCCCGTACGAGGATTGCAGCCGCCGCTTCTCGCGCAGCGACGAGCTGTCGCGGCACAAGCGCACGCATACCGGCGAGAAGAAGTTTGCCTGCGCCGTCTGCCAGAGGAGATTCATGAGGAGCGATCACTTGGCGAAGCACGTGAAACGCCACGCCAGAGACAAGTCCTCCGCGCCATCGTCCTCTTCTAATCAGGTTGCCGCCTCCCAGATGGCCCCGACGCCCCTGAGGGTGAGTCTACTGCCGGTGCTGACGTCGCGATTAGCGCGATCTGTTCCACAGTTGGTGCCGCCTCAGCTGGCGGCTTGAAAGACGCACTCGTGATTAGCAAAGTCGCTTAAGAGTTGTATTTCGCGTTTCCCTTAATTAGAGTCAGATTGGATTGGATTGCTCTGAGCACACACACACACACACACACACATGCATTGAAGATCAAGAATACTACTAAAAAAAAACTGGCCTTATTCAACAAAATGTTAAAAACGATAATTAAAATACCTGACACTTTAATGAGGATAAAAATTATATCTAACAATAAGATATGAAAGGTGAAGGGTTTGATTCATCCTGATGAAGTGGCATTAGGTTGAAAGCAAAAACACTATGGCAAACATCTACTGGCGTTAATCTAATGATCAATTGGAAGGGTGTGTTGTGCGATGAAGAGAATTTAAATCAAGATGGGATTACTGGAAGAGAAATGGAACAAGTCGAGCTAAGCGGGGAGAAAGGCAGAGTTGGCCGTTAAAGAGGTGGAGCAAAGACACGAGGCGACGATTGGTCCGTCGCGCAGAGGACTGTCGCCGTCTGCAAACCGAGTACCTAAATGTGTCTGTGATCTGTGACACGTGAAGATTAGTGTGTCATTCACTCGAGAGTTCTGCTATCTCACGAGTCACTTGCGAGGAGTCGGACTCTGCATTTGCAGCGTGCGTTCAGCGCTAAATGCGGTCGCGCGCTTTTCAGTTCGGGACAATATGGAATGTGATCACCGCGTTGAGTAAATTAATCGTGAACATTCGCATTTAACACTGCTGGCTATGGGAGTTGAGAACGAATTAAAGATTTCCAAAAGGGTACCGTTTAAAAATCGCTCGATTCTTCGCTGGTCGGAGATTCTTTGTAAACAATACAAAAATCTAACAGAAATTCGAAAGATATTACCGATACTTTCTCGGCTAGTCTCTCAACTTGTTTTAGATTTTTCTATTGTTCAACTTACTGGATATAGCTGCTCTCGATAAATGGAGCTCTTCAGCATCAAGTTTGAGCGCGTTGACCGAGGAACAGAAAGAAAGAATATTTATTTATGAGGAGACAAGACGTTATTGATTTATGTTATGTATATAACGGTTATTTGCAAGCTTTAAGATTACGATCGCGCTAATGAGACTAGCTGTACATATTGAATATGGATAATGTAGGAGCGGATGTAATGAAAACTTCGTGGAGATTTATCAACGATTCTGTTGATTTTTAAAGGTTATTACTATTTTTTTTATATCCTAGCGACTTGAAATATTATTTTCTTCTTCCAGAGTTTATTTTATGTTTTATGTTTTACTTTAAGGAAGAGATTAATGATTGCTACAACTTGTAAATGGTTGCATCCGCTTCTGGGACCGCAGCATGTATATATGTATATGTATCTCTATCACAGTCAGGTGAAGAAACTTCACTTGGCGGCATAAGACTTCAGTGTATCGTTAAACTGTATAAAAGTTTTTCTACAATTAAATAAATTGTATACTTTCATAAATCATTACGAGTATATTACTCACTCGTCCTTTCCCTCTGCGATTTCCTTTGTGAGTCAATATTTAAATCAATATTTAAATTACGTTATCTAATTGATTATCCTGCAAGTATTAGTTGATAACTTGATATCAATAACTGGTTTAAATAAAAAATTTCTTTTTGTCTAAATTGTCCTCAAAGCTTACGTTGTTATTTTAATGAGGACGAACTACTCCTTTACACCAATGCCTATAAAGAAATCACAAATTAAATCTTAGACTCTCATATTGCTTGTCATATACTTAATTCGCGAAAAGTTTCTATATTCGCAAAATGTCTTTAGCGTTAAAAAATTGGAGCTATAAGAATTGCGTACAAGTTTCAGACGGATTTAAGAGAAAATTCTATGCAAAATTGATGTTTTCCTTCACAACTCGAGAACTCCGAAAATTCCAAGTAGAAGAACCGCGTGATTGTTCTCCAACGGAAGAACGTATCTTTTTTTTTGTGCGGGCATACGGAAGCTATGTTCAAATTCTGTGAGGGAGGTCGTGTCGCTCGAAAATGACCAAGTGATAACGACGTGGGAAAAAAATGCATTGTGTGCGAAAGAATCGATGACGTCGTGCCGCTCTCAAGAGGCACGTCGCGCTGCTCTCTTACGTCGCTCTCGAGAGGCGCGTGCAATTCAGGGACACGCAGGCAGGCCCACGTGAACACAAGATGCCCGATATGGGTTTGCTGAGATAAGACTTGCAACTTGTATTCCCGTAAAACAACAGACAGCGCAACGCTTTCAAAGAATCAGTTTAAGCACGCGATGTTTTTTGTAATTCACGCCGGATATTGCTGCAAACATTTCCGCGAGGTATATCGAATATTAAAAATAAATACTCGTTTCACACGCATAATTTGTGTTATTTGATGCAGCGAAATTTGAATACTGGATGACGCACTGCCCTGGCATTAAAGATAAAATACGAATAAAAATAGCCAGTGCTTAACGAATTAATAACGTAGAATAAATCACTATATACATCGCGTGCTTAAACATTATTTTTTTTTTATTATATATATTCTTTCGAAAATTTGGGAACTTGACAATTTATTGTAAAATAAGCATGGTATTAATGAAAATTAACAAAATGATTTGCTAATGTAGATATCTGCGTTGAGAAAGATTCTTATAAAATTTACTTCAGTCATAATGTGGCAGATCGCTTTTTTGCAAAAGACGTGACTTGCTGAATTTGTTAGGATTATAAGATGCGGTAGAAACTCTTTGGTATTAAGATGCATCATAGTATATTAATGAAGTATTTTATATTTTACGTGGAGGAATTTCCGTCAGATAATTAGGCTTGTTTTCTAGAAAATTTCCATCACGCACATCACGTGAACGCGCGTGATTGTTTAGACATTTGCGATATCGCCTCTTTTACCGATAAGAATCAATTAAACGCATTATCATTCGCGTTGCCAATATGCCAACTCATATTAGGAAGTTCGTGCTAATAAGACACACCGGTAGTTTTATCTCGATTGTATAATAATCTCTATCGTTTTTCTTATCACATTCGAACAATGGAAGCATATGTAATTTCTATTATTTAATAATATACAAACTATAATTATATTTTTATTAGCACATTATATAACATTCAACATGCCATTTGCTAAGAATATTGACAAATACATATTAAATACTGACTTTTTAAAAATCAATTTTGTAACTTTTACTCGGATATATAATATGTAGCTTGCAGTTATGTTGATTAATATTTTATTAATTATTTTAATATAATATAACATTTTATTACAGTAATTTATTATATATTAATAAAATAACATTTTTTATATTTGATAATTACATATTTTTAAATACTATATCATGCAACCTTTATCTAAATTTAACAGAAATAAGATTGATATTAGAGTAAATATATTTCGCAAAATCTTATTTATTTGCACAATTTCACGTGCATTATCATATTTTGCCAGATGTATTTTGCGAGTACGCCGACATCGATAAGATTCTTACCGTCGCAGGAGAAAATATTATTGTGAAGGAGTTTGTTTTTCATACTAATGCAAACAAACACCTATGAAGTTATAAAAATAGTAGGCCGAATCATACAATATAATACTTGAAAAATAATAGAAGCGCTTTATCCTACAGAAGAGTGAAGCTTCACATTTAATTTGAAAATTTAAACTGAAGTAATATCTTCCGCATCCAAGTTGTTCTACGATGGAAAAATAATATAACGTTTTAAAATATTTAATATATTTGAAGTAGATAAAAAGGGAGAAAAACAAATTACTTTGAAGAAACGTAGAAACAATATTTAAATAGTTCAAAATAATATTTTTGTTCTTCCAAATGGATAATTCTTAAATTAATTATTTAATAAAATACTCTATTTTAAAGTAGATAAAAAATGTGGAAATTTTTTATTCGTAGAGTAGTAGAATATTTCATAAAGTAGCTTCAATAAGTTTTTCGGAATTGGCGTGGCTATAACTTCATTCAGAACGCGAGGTTCTAGCGGCTAGAGCTGAAATGGCTTTCACAAAATGGCTTCCAGGAATGCTTTCGGTAGTCACTGACGAAAATGTTGCAGTTATTATAGTAGATATAGTTATTATAGTTGCACACAAGAAAAACATTATATGAACAAAACATAATTAATTATAAAATATTCTTATATTTCTCAGAAATGAAGTCTCGTCTTTTTAATATTTCTAAAATACTTGCAGTTTAAAATATAATATTCTCGTTCTTGCCATTCTATTCTTCACTCTGAATTTCGATTCACCCTGCGTTTCGATAGAGTTGCAAGATAACAAGCAAGACTTCAAGACACATCCTAGAAATACAAGAAGCAAAATTTCGAAGGTAATCTCTTGATGCACGCGACGATTAGCGTATCTCGCGTGAATTTTTGCTACCAAATTTCTACCAGACATACGTTTATCAGCAATGATTCGAGACGCTTTTTCTTATCGTGTCATCTAAGCCACATTTCGCGCGCGCACCGTCGAGACGTTTCTTATCGCAGATGATTATTGATGTTGATTGATTTAATAAATGACGTCCCACGTGAGAAAGATATTATACAAGCGGGGAACTATGTTGTAGAAAATGCCCGTGTTTAACATTCCATTTAGAAGGCGGTCTAGCCACACCTCTGTCGGACTTTTCCGGGCCGGGTTGTACGCCAGAAACAGGACGAGCAAAAACAACGCCCCGTCATCGTCGTCGCCGTCGCGCGTCGTCGTCGTCGTCGTTGTCGTCGTCGTCGTCGTCGTCGCGCGTAACGGCTCTCGCGAAATTTCTGATTTTCTTGCATCAGCCAAGGACTCGGTCTCATTGAGGCGACGTTTAATGTCACAAACAGGTGTGCTGGGACCGGTAGATGACGCAAAATATCCTCGCGATTACCCTTCGTGTGGTTCGCCTTTATTGAAATTCGTCTGGCGAGGAGAACCTGGCGAACGTGCACGACCGATTCCAATTCTCGCGAGACGGAACGCAAATACTTGACGGAATCGCGAATTTTCGCGTTCAACGAAGATTTTCGAACGAGATCGCTAACCGACACTACAGGCCTCGCGGCCTGCTCGCGCGTTCGACATTCGCTGCATTGCGCGTTATTAGACACTAAAGTTAAATTTGTAACAAAGTCATATTTTACGTATTTGAGAAATAATAAACTTTTAAATATATATTACATACTTTTTTTAAAAGTAGTTTTGTCTTTTTTTTGTTTGTGTTTATATATTAAAACTCGTTTTGTAGATTTGATTACATCATAGATTTCAATAACACCTGTAGTGCTTATTAATTGAAAATGTTTATTAATACGTTTAATTTTACCTTAATAATTTACGATCGTCTGTTATGTCTGGCGATTCAGTTATATATCGAAGATATCATTGGTCTTTGTATGTGATTATCAGAATTAACGAAAAAATCTAGAATGAGATTTAATAATAGCGAAAAGATGGATATGCTTCTAATGTTTGTGGTGAAAATGCAAAAAGAGCTAGCAAATATCGTAAACAAAATCAATCATCTCGATGGACGTTCCAGAGACTTTGTCAATCGCTTCAATCATGCAGACTATCTCGTTAACTGTTTTAGTAGGAATAATAAAAGTTAACTCATTTTTATTTAGAATTCAACTTTTTCGAATTTTGACACAAAAAATATAAGGTTTTATTTAAAAAAACAAAATTGATTTCTAAATCTCTTACGAAATGCCCTTACTCACAGAAAAAATACGGACTCTACGTAATGTGCCCTCCCCCCCATGAAACTCTATGTAACTTTTGTACATAACAATTTTTTACAAAACACATGTAATTTAGAACGTATTCAAAGTGTGCAAGTTAGTTGCTCTATCCTGTATAATTATAAAAATTACAACAAGCCTATCTAATGGAGCTTAATTTGTTTTATGAATTAAATTATATATGCTTTATCAAAATTACTTAAAGTGTTAATTTCTGAAAATATCTAATATTACGAATCCTTTTTACGGCTTAAGAAATTGTGGAAATCTATTAAAGGTGATTTGGAAATAACGAGGAAATTGATACGGACGTAAAATACGTATCTAATTATATTGCTCCAGAATCGAGTGGAAGAAATGATATCGGCGCAAATAAGAGTGCAACATCTCTCGACTGTTGCATCAAGCTAAATATTTCCATTTCTACATTACGTCTGCATGCGCACAATTCCGGAGAATATTAATTATCGGACTGATTTATTAGATTTTTTTAAATGAAATCGGAACGATCGATCGTGTTCATCATGTACAAAAACGAGTGATTTTTTTGCTGACGTCATAATATCATAGGTAGATCAACGAAACATTTCAAATCAATAAAAATTGCGGATTAATAGACGGAATTTCAAAAAAAGAATCATAATTATACAACTCACAGAATTTATTTATATTACGCGTGGAAGGAATATCGAAGAATGTTAAACTCTTCTGATTTTTCACTCAATAACATAGAGTCTATAGACACTCATAGACATAGACATTCAATCAAAAAGTAATAAAAGAAGAATAAAAAAGTAATAAAAATCGGAGAGTATAGAAACAGTTCAGTATAGAAACTCTTTATTTGTAGTAAATTTTGCAAAAATAGATATACAATTGTTACGTTAGGCTTCGCCTAACTTACAACAAATATTGTAAAAGTATTTGCAAAGGTATCAAATATCTGCGGCATATAAAATTCTCTGAAATTAATAAATGCACGAGTCTATCTACAATGTTCGCGAAAAGTCGTTGGGCGCGGGACGTGTAAATACCAAGTCCAAAAATATATGGTACTCTAGAAGTCGCGACAGCCTCGGCGCATTATGCGTGCCACGCATTATAGCCCCTCCCATTTGACCTGCACACGTGGAATCGCGTCATACTGTATCTCGCGCGAATAAAATTGTGCTAAGTACAGTCAAAGCTGCATACCTTTTAATGTCTTTGTCTGTTAATGTATTCTTTCACTGAAACATTAATCAGAAATAACATTGTTAAGAAATTAACAATGTTATTAACAATGTTAAGAAATTAACAATGTTATTAGGACTATTAATCTTAGGACTACACACATAAATGTGAATCCCGGTGAAAATTTTAAAAATCGTTAATATTCTTGAAAATTTCTTTTGGATTATACCTTTATAATTTACAAATTTAACAAATAGATTTGAATTGATTTTATAATCATATTCTGATGTTTGGTATTCTGTTGGAAAAAAATTCGAAAATATGGACTTCTATCAGAGTTAAAAATATTCGACTACGTCTGAAAGATCCAGTGTGTGATTGCGTCTACATAAATACGTGTATAGTCCTATATATATATATATATATATATATATATATATATATATAAATTCGTTCGCATATCGTTTGTGTTTATTCTAGGTAATTAGAAAAAGATGGTAAACATTCTTCCAATTAACCTTTCAACAAATTAGCACACACAAGATATAACAAGTGAGAACTCCAAGTTGAGTTGCAGGATAACAAAGGGCTTAATTTATGCACCTATTTCGCGGATGCATTTTCTCTTTCTGACTCTGAAGCGAACAAATATAATACAGCTCTCGGATGAACATTCAATCAATGAAGATATGCCGATAATGGATCCTTATCGAACTTTTACTTTGGGTGGAATTTTCGCGTAGAATCGGCCGCCATATCGCGCAGTAACTGGCACGGTCTGTAAGTTTCGCCGTAGTGACTCTGGAACTCCTCCATCTTCTTAACGAGACGATGGGCGCCGTACGCGTCTACCCAACGGAATGGACCACCCGTGAATGGCGGGAAACCCAAGCCGAACACAGCTCCCACATTGCCCTCCAACTAAAATATAAATATTAGTAAATAACGCAATAAAGAAAATATAAACAATTATAATTAGATAATTATCTAATTCAATTAAGAATACGATCAATGACTTAACAAAGTTATTGAGCAAAAGCAACTGTTTTTGAAAATAACAAAAAACGATCCATTTAACATTTAACGTGCAAATTATAAATCGACGTGATTCCATGAAATAAACTAATAAAGTATCATAAGCATAAAACGCGTTACAATTTAACAGATTTTGTTCAAATTTTTGTATGAAAACTGTTACTTAGATAATCGAATTGTTCTTTTGTTATCCATTAAACGAAAGCAAGGTTTCCTTTGAGACTGATGATTTGTTAATTTCGAGCAACCATTATATTGTTTCCCGAGATAGAATTCTGATATAGAATATGTTATCTATAATTCAATTTACAGATAGAAATCTGGGATAATTAAATTACTATCTCATATTTTACTATCTTTGTTATTTACTGTTCAATAACTTGTTGAAGGTGTCAGATAAACATGAAGTATATTAACTTACGGGATTAGCTAGAATATTTTCTTCCAAGCACAGTACTGCTTCATTAACGAACCGTGAAACCATCCTCATTTGACGGTCCTCGTCGGACGTGCTACCCTTAGGCTCGAGGCTGTACTTTTTTATAATGTCCAACGCACCGACATTTACGTCCCTGTTCTTGGAGCCGGTTTCATACACGAATATACCTTTGCCGGACTTGCGTCCTAAAATTCACATGTGAAAGTCTAACTTTAGTATGATTTTATCATTTTAATATTTTTATAGGCTATCGTTGATATCTTATTTCTTCTATTATTAACTATGCGGATTTTTCTGAAACACGTGCAAAATAATGATTGATCTATTGTATTCATCGGAAGTTTTCTTCACGTTATGATAAAAACCTTACCGAGGAAGCCAGCTTTGACCATGTCGCCGAGAATATTTACGTCTCCTCCCTTAAAGCGCTCCCCATAAGCTTTCTGGAGATCAACACTGATGTGAGCACCCACATCAATGCCGACCTCATCGGACAAAGTGGCTGGGCCAACAGGGAAGCCGAATGTCTTTGTCAGTTTATCCAGATGCATCGGCTCTACGCCTTCCTGTTTAACAGATTACATCGTATTTATATTCGCATTTTATATTCGCGATTTGGAATTGAAATAATCAATGTCAACATGACTGCGATACTGCAGAATAAGGTCGGTCACTCTCTAATAATATAATTATAATAATTAATTCTAAACGATATCATTTATTTTTCGTACTTCTGTAAAAAATAGCCGCTATAGTAGCTCACCTGCATTAGTCTAACCGCTTCTGACAACATGGTAGAAAGTATTCTTGAAGTGTAAAATCCAGGACAATCACCGACTGTGACGACGATCTTGCCCTGTTTCAAACCAACATCTACAGCGGTTTTGATCGTCTCTTCAGATGTTCCTTTGTGTGTTATAATTTCTAGCAGTTCCATTTTGTCGACAGGAGAGAAGTAGTGCATACCGATTACCTGTGAAAAAATATGTCTTGAAAAGTTCATCATCCATTATATATTTATGCAACTATTATAATTAAAAAATTAAATAGCATTTAATTAGCTTACGCACATATACTTTTTAAAATTACAATTTAATTTAAAAAATTGAATATTCTTATAATCATAAATATTTTACATTAAAATAATATTTATTAAATACTAGATATTATTAATAATAGCTTGGAATTAAACATTAATTATCATTGACTTTACTTTGTCAGGACGGCTGCTACCAGCAGCGATTTTTGTGATAGGAATAGCGGACGTATTGGTCGCGATGACGCAGTGATTCGGCACTACGGATTCAATCTCCTTCAGAACCCTGTGCTTGATGGCGATGTCCTCGAAGACAGCCTCGATCACTAAGTCTGCATCTTTGAAGGAGTCGTAACTTAATGTTGCATTGAGATGTGACAAATACTTGTCCTTTTCAATACTGTGTAAAAAATTTCCGTTAAAAAAATCTGTCTTTTTTTATACGTAGCTTCTTTTTTTTATAGAAGAGACACGGACCTGGAGATTCGTTTACGCTTCACAGCACCGTCCAGACCTTTCTGAATTTGGTTTATGCCGCGATACAGTCCGACCTCGTTGGTATCCTTCATAATGATATCAAAACCTTTGTCGATACTGACTTGGACGATGCCCGCACCCATTAAACCAGCGCCAATAACTGCAACTTTTCTGTGCACATTGAATTGCAATAGAATATCGATAATTATTTTGATCAGTTTTGCTCAAAGATTTATTGAAAGACTGACTTGACTGCACTCTTGGGCGGGCCGAAACGATTTCTCTTGCATGCTGTCATGCCGAAGAACAAATTTGTAAGGCCTTTACATTCCGGTGTAGCCGACAGTTGACCGAATCCCCTGGCCTCAGCATCAAATCCAGCAACAGGACCCTTGTCCAGACCGACCCTTACCACTTCCAGAATTTTAAGCGGAGCTGGATATAAGCCATTCGTCATTTTCATCACTTGGGCCTTTGCTTTCTTGAACACCTGATCCTTGACGAAGTTGATGGACAGAATCTGTTGCGTTATCTTGTCCACGAGAGATTTTGGACCGCGCTCAATCTTCAGTCTTCCGCTTGCGATATCCTGCGCAGTTTTCACCGCGGTTTCCTCCAGATATCTCATCGTACTGGAAAACGTGATTTGATTCTTAAGTATGCGATGTAGTTTTGATGCACAGCAATATTAAAGCTTTACTCTAGCGAAAGAGATATTACATATGCAATTAACATGAGAGACGAGATAAATATTTTCTGAAGAGTTCGTGAATGAACATATATGTGAGATGATAAAAAATATAAATTCAGATACAAATCATTGCGAGCAAAAAAATTATTGTTATTTAGGGTCGGTTGTTCCAATCTGTTGGCAAACTAACTAATAGTTAAATCATAGATATGTCTTTGTTTTTCCTTCGAAGACAAAGATAGACATATAATTTAACTATTAGTTAGCTTACCAACGGGTTGGAACAACCGGCCTTTAAATATTTATGGTATAAATGACTTAAAATCATTAAAGTTTCTTACAAAGCAATTAGTGTAAATTGTAAAAAGCTTAAGCGCATCTGGTTAGAGGAAAGTGCACTTTTTATTTGTATATTTTTACTTTTCTTCGGGCGATCCGATTCCCGGTCCAAGGCGATTCACCAAGATATCCACTAGTCCAAGTTTCTTCGCTTTGTTGGGCTGAACATTTTTACCAGTGAGTACCATATCTAGAGCGGTGGTAAGAGGAATCAGCTGGGGCAGGCGTTGAGTACCACCGCCGCCAGGAAGGAGCCCGAGCTTTACTTCTGGGGTTCCTAATTTGGTTTGCTTGTCGTTAACGGCGAGTCTGTAATGGCATGCTAACGCGACCTGTATAAAATAATCAATAATTTCATCTGTTTTTAATTTCCCCAGCTAAGCTAAATGCCTTGTAATTCATTTTAAGTGTTAAAATACGTTACCTCTAATCCTCCACCGAGACACGAACCGTGAATAGCAGCAATAATTGGCTTTTTACTATTCGCTATTAGATCTAGAACTCTGTGGCCCTCTTTCGCTACTTGATAACCAGCTTCTGCATCCGGAAGAGCTTGTAACATACTAATATCTGCACCAACTATGAAATTGTCTGGTTTGCCACTAATAAGAACTGCTGAGTTTACAAGAGGATTGGATTGAATTTCATTCAATAATCCTTCTATCTCTCCCATTAGTTCCTTGTTTAAGGTGTTTACCTATATCAACAATAATTAAAATAAAAATCTGTGTTAACGTACTCTGGTCTCCTTTTCCAATTTTAAAATAATTTTATTATCATATTTAATCATGTGTACACGTATACACACACATACAAAATTATATACTACTATATATTACTTTGACATTTGGTGAATCTATGGTGATGACTGCTACGTCGCCGACGGTTTTGCATTTAAAATATTTCCTATTTGCCACGGTTGCTAATGTTCTCGATTGTTGCAAACCTAGAAATATAAAAATGCGAGACGTAAGTAATCAAATGTAACATCGACTATACGTATAAAAATACGCTAATATTTTTTCCCAAGTTATTACATAATCAAATAAGATACAAGACAATTTCAATGTAATAAAAAATTAGAATTTCATTAATAAAACACTTTTTATTTTGCCTCAATGGTCGAATTTGTGAAGATGCCCGTCACAAGAAATCGAGGTTCGAACCCTAACTAAGGTAATTTCGCAATAAATTCTTTGCATTCTTTGATTTAAAAAGATTCTTATTAGCATTATTGTTAAATCCATTATCGATTTAATGTGAATTTACTGTTCCAACGAAACTGTTTCAAGGTACAGTTTGCTAAATGGGAGTGTATGTTAATTCATATAAAAAAGTGTAATTAAACTATAGAGATCTAGCCCGACCGAAAAGGCACTTCTATATTTACTTGTGTAATATTTTTCATTATTTTTTTAAAACGTAATAACTTTTGACATTTATCATGTGTGTGTGTGTGTGTGTGTGTGTGTGAACTATATACATAATTCCTCTATTTTAAGGTATAATATCTAATCTACAACATTTACATTGTGTGATAAAGCTTCATATATATTCGCATTATATTCTATATTCTCGTCATCGTTGTTTGACGTTAAAAGCAAAAATCTGCATAAGTGCACAGGCATAAATAAAGCATTATATGTTGATTAATCAAACGTCAAGCGTAAATTTTGTCAAATAATGGTTGCAAATGAACAGTCTGTTTTGTTATGTGATAACTTTTTAATTTCTTAGTCTCGAAATTTATTTATAACCTGATCTCTCAAAGTTCAATAGCTTGATATAATTTTTAAGACGAATCTATTATAAACGTCTTTATAATAATTTTTAATGAAATTTGTTATATTTTCATATATTTTCTCTATTTAATTTTCTAATCCATATTCTTCTCCTTTTCAAAGTGCAAGAAAGTATTTAAAAAATTATAAATAATCATGTAATCTTTCCATTATCTAAAATCACATCAATATTGATACCTGTATACGTTTTATCTCTGTTTATATCTGAAGTATATTTGTTTCATTTGAAATATATGAAGCACTCTCGGAATTTTCCGACGATCGAACGATTTGAGCATCAAAGCTCCAACTTCAGAACGTAAATTTCAAATCTATTCGATATAATTCGAATCTTAATTCGATTGAAATAGCAAAATGAAGTTAGGCGATGTATCGTATCGAGGGGGGACAAACAAAAGCCATCATTTCTCTTTACAGTAAATGCAATGTTGGAATTCTTTTTTCAACTGTGTCGTTTGAACAATCCAGGCATCGTTTCGAACAGCGCGTTCGACTTTAACGAAGTTATACGAGCGTCCGTACTTTGGACTTTTAAGTTCAAAGTACGAAAGTACAGGCACGATCACGTAATACTCGGAGATCCGCCACCGTGCCGTGCCCTAATGCGAATATAGCGAGGTATTTCTCAAAATAACATAACTTATTCGGTCGCGCCGGTGCCAGTCGTCGTCGATCATCTCGGCAGCGCGAAGTTAGCGCTAATCGACCTTATCGCCAGCCCTCTCTCGATTGCGAGAGCAAAGGTCGAACGCGCACCGGCGCACCTATCGGCATCTTGCCCGATGTACCGGCCTGACGTATTGGCGAATATCCAGTGTCAAAAAGAAAGCTAATCGGCTCCCGATTTTCCTTGTCAACTTAACGACGCTCCCTAACGAATAGTTCGCGTCTCGGAGCCGGCATAAATTACGCGCCATTGCCGTTCGCAACCTCATCGAACGTCTCCCTTTACTCCAGACTGGTTGCCGACCGGAGGTTTTGTTCAACCTCTTTTCGGTGTCTTCAATCTTTCGTCGCGTTTCACGCGACACCGGGTCGATATTTATTCGGCGTGAACGTCACGCAAGAGAAGAACGTGAAATTGCCTGGCGGCGTATAAGTGATATGTATTTCTTGAAGATGCATATCTGAATACCCGCTCCTCTTCATGGAGCGGACACGTAATCACCTGTGCATTTCGAAATGAAATTCGCGTTGGCGCGGGAGCAGCGCGCGAGGGCGCCGAACAGCCTGCAGCTCGCCATGATCTCAGTCGATTCGGATCGGACGGGCACACACTCTCATCGAGGGAAAACGAGAATCCACGAGTCACGCGCGGCACCGCGTGCGAACGACACTCCGTGTCTTCTGTCTCGTCGGTTGTCGCCCTGTCTGCCACTGTCTACTGGCACCGCGGGGTCAGCGGGGTATAAAAAAGGAACGCATGATGGGGAGGGGGAACGCCGCGGTCGAGAGAGACACGATCGGTAAAGGAGGAATCGCGATTTTAATCCTGTCTGCGCTAACGCGCTAATCTTCAATAATATTCATAATAAATTGCAGCTACACGTAATTGTGTAATTTTTCCTCGTCTCCGCGAGCAAGATAATAAATCATTCTCCTTAAATGAAATCGAAAACCGGTTTTTTTTATAAATATCTTTAAAATGAGAGATTTTTTTTTACAGTATAAAAGGCTCCAGCGTTTTTGGCTTATACACGAATTCACGTACAGGCTGCTTTTATCTTTTATCTTTCATCCCTATATTATTTCAATATGAGTTCAGAGATTTTAATATTGTCAACAAACAAAAATAATTTCTACGTACATTTGTTCGTGACGATAGAAGATCCATTTTTTTATGTTTATTACGTGGAAAATTAGATTAATTATTATGAAAAGAGAGAAACTTTTTAAACTTTCTGATCTTTCCGTCGATATAATTGTTTATCGAGAGTATATCGAGTATATATATCGATACTCTCGAGCGCACTTGCGTGTGCGCGCAAATGCTTGGGGTGTCGACTTGCGCGGACTTTGATCCTGACTTTATTAATTCGCCGACGTAATTCATATGTAACTTATTGCGTATCAATGCGAACATCGAATAAACAGAATTTGTTTTACGACATTGTAAATTAGGTGCGTAACTATTATATAATTACACTGAAAATTGTAGTAGAATTATACACTATATATAATACAATTTTATAACTGCAATTATATGCATCGTAATTGTATTATAGTATTTTATTAAGATCACTCTTTATTCAATAAGCTCTCGCAAATAATAAACGTGACAAAATAAACAATTTTTTTAATATGTTACACATATTATATAAAATTTTTTGATATGATTAATTTGGCTATATATAATAAAATAAGATATTATTAAAAATAGTTAATTTTTTCTTATAGTTAAAGCGTTAAAAGATTTTTATTGTGATGCACATAAATGCCGAAAATCAAATTTATCTTATAAATATTTTGTTTCTGTCACATATATTTTGTGAAATTTTATCAATGAACTCTCAGTTGTGTGATTGATTAAACCGTTTACTCTTCGGTCCAATTGATTTGAGTGTAATTGCATATCTTGTTTTCCATTATGTAAGAGTTATAAATATCATTAAGGTCAGCCTTCTCAAGATGTTTAGATAACTGATAATAAATATGTATGCAATATAATACTTTGTTGTCATTGTAAATTGTGCTGAATTATAATAAATAATTATAATTGTAGTATATAATTATATCTTATATCAACCATCAATTTATCGAATCATACGCGCAGTATTTTATAAATTGTAAGTAAAGTGTTAGACCAGTGTTAGACGTACAGAATAAGCATATGCAAAGCGAGATACACAATAAATCAAAATTCTCGAGCATTACGATTTTTAAAGTTCTATATTTATTACAAATTCTTTTCTCGTATCTATTTTAAAATAGGAACTTTTATTATTACTGTAACAGTGTGTAACAAAATGCGATATGACATATAAATAAAGAAAAATCTTATTTATCAAAAGACAGTCATGAATGAACCGGCGACGTCGATAACTCACGATTATCGACAGCGTTGAAGTTGCCGAGATCGCGATTCGATATAGCGAGCGACCCGCTATCGAATCGCTCGTGTCTAAGGACAACGTGGGACAACGGACCCTCGTCCCTCCGTGATGATTGCAGTCACGATTGCAGTCATTGCAGTTACCTATAGTTACCAGCGTAAACGCCGTAAACAGCGATTCTGAGCCGCATGACAGCTCATCGTGATCGTTCATGATCGAGTACGGCGGGAGTTGCCCGCCCATTGCTTATCAGCTATCGCGTGTTGTCGATTACGGCGGGCGGCGGTCGCACGTAAGTGCGTAATCCGCAGTATCGGAGCGCACGAGCTCCGGCTAGCACGGTGAGCAAAATGACGAGTGAATTGGAGTGAATGCTCCGGTGACAGGCGCTACCGTGACAGCACCTTTCGCTCCTCACTTGGGCGCGATTGAACGTCCAACAGTGTCGTTCTGATAGTTCTGTTCCGCGTTAATTTTTCCTTGCATGATTATGACGCGTTAATTTATCTATAAAGATATATTGTCTCTCGCGGAGGAGACGAGTGAGAAAGGCATGAGCAGGAATCGCCTTACTCACGTGTGCACCGTCCTTATGGTAGAGCCTTACGTCGCCTTTCAGTTGTTGTAGTCAATTGTGGCCAAGTGAGCGGAGAATTTAAGGAAGATTCAGAAGATTGTATCCGTAGACGAAAGATATTGATGATTTTTGTTGTCAACAGGAATGGCTGAGAATGCTCATAGCAAGGAGCAGTGGCAGCTCCTCCACAGTCTTCGTTCCACTGTGGAGGGTCTGCTGATCGACGGGGTGTCCAATGTGTGGAATGTTTACGGTGGCCTGAACCGGCTGCACAGTGTAATGGAGCGGATATTCAAGCACGGATGTCGTATATTTGATCCCAATGTTAGTTGAGTTTGTCGTTCCCAGAGTTTCTTAGAATTACCATTATCGCAATTTTATTATAATTATTTTTTATGGACTACTTCTATCAGATTTCAATTATGTCGGTATTGCCAATTTAAAGCATTCTTGTTTTTAAATAATCAGGTTTAATATTGAAAGGTTGTTACATGATAAAAGAATTTACCGCAACTATATAGATACAAATTGCTTTATACATATTACTTGAAGAAAATCTTGACATATAAAGCTCATATTGTGAACAAATTTTTTAAGGGTGAACCAGATTGCTGGATATTCATTCAAGGACTAAATTGGCTCCAACCGTCTTTGGCAACGTCGCCAGTATTGTTGGAAAACGAGGATTACTTATGCAATTTGCCAACTAGAATAACATCCAAGAAGGACATGTTGTGGCTGTACAAAAGGTAAGTAACTATTTTTTTCTTTATTAAATATATAATATGTGCAGTTATAGTGTTTCTTAAGTAGGTAAAAAAAAATGAAGGGGATATTCCGTGGCTTATTTTAGGAAGAAAAGATAAACATATGCCCTAAACTGCTTTGTTCTTAAAATACAGGATGTCTTCCTGAAATTTCCTTTTTTTCCTGAAATAAGTCAACGGAATATTCAATTTTTTGTACTTACTTTAGGAAACACCCTATATAAATATGGTGTATCTTTGAATGTGTTCCTATCTCGAGGAGTTTTCTTATCACGATAAACAAACACTAAAAGTACTAATTTACAGTTTAGAGGGTCACTCCCTATCACATAAATTGTCATGGCTTCTATCAGATAAAGAACACTTGCTTTCTTGTCTGGAACCATGGGCCTTCCTTTGTCAAGAGAATTTGGCAGAAGCGACGCTTTTGTATCTACGAGCAGTCGAAAGGAATCAGTCTGTATTGCTCGCAGAAATCGACCCCTGCTTGGTGAGTAGCGTTTTAACATTTCTTCGTTTCATACAAAGCAACTGCATAAGCCAAAAACTTTATATTAATCTCCTCTTGGTTAATTTTTTTGCATTAAAATAAAAAATTTTTAAATTTTGAATTCCAAAATTAAAAATTCCAGACTTTTGATCAGAAATTTGCTTAATTTAAATATATTACGATATACTGTTTATGATGGATTTCAGTGCATGAAATCATTCTTTTTCTTCTATTTTAATTTGCAGTTCTCGTCGACGTGGATATCCCCTAAAGCGAGCCCCAGGCGCCATCGTCGCTCGTCCTCGTATCCCGTAAATTTTTCTGGCGTCAGTCATATTTTCGCGCGAGACAAGAGCATGAGTGCTCTAACTAAATGTCAATTGGACAAACTGAAGGTTTCAACGCAGTCTGTGTCGCACGACACGGACAGCACTGAGAATCAGATGTCAAAATCCATACAAGTTATCACTAATAGTGAGTCACAAAGGGATTCCCAAATCGACGACGTATCTCTGAAAACGTGGAACAGTCTACCCGCTTTGGTCAAGAGTCATAACGGCGCGGTCGTGGGAAATTCAGCCGCGATTTCGCCGACAATTCTAGAAAGCAGCAATAGCAACAGTAACAATAATCGACCTCGCACCGTTGAATTGGCGGAGATCATCAATATCAATTACTCGGACTCGAAACAGCCCGTTGATTCCAACGTGGACAAGCTCACGGCGAAGCCGAAAACACCCATCAGGAAGACGAGAAATCGAACAAAAGCTAGACATGGTCGGAGTAAGAAAGCTTTTGAAAATCCAGAGGTTTCCTCGAGCATTCACGAGAACGTCAAAAATATGGTTGAGGAGACACGGCCGATTTCAATTACGGAATCGGCGGAGACGAAGACGCAGGATCAGTGGACAACTCGCAAAAAGACGTCCTTTTTGGCGGGCTCGGCGCCCGAATTTACGGGCTCCTGGAGCATGGAGGTGGAGGGCCAGAAAGACATTCGTACGCCGCGGAAGAGTTTCATGGAGGACGGCGGCAGTAGCGTGCAGCCGATGGCGACCGGGTACTTCCCACGTCCGGTCGAGGGCCAGAGTTTAACCAGCTTTCTGTCCTCGGCGCGGTTCTCGCGCGCCCACGACGCCGAGTTGGATCGCGAGAACGCGCACTTCAGCGTCTGCGAGGCGATGATCGCCGCCATCGAGCAGGTCAAGTGCAACCGGTTGCAGCGTCGTCTGCTGGACGATGCGGCCGACGATGAGAGCGACGAAGAGATCAATCGGCTGAAGCAACGGATCCGGCTGCGACGCCGGCAACGCCAGGAGGAGAAGTGTCGAGGCAGAGGCTGGAGCCGCGGTGACCTGCTGAGCGACGGCAGGACCGACACGACCACGACCACCGATCAGAGCGTCAGCCCGTTGTCCACGTCCTCGGGTAGCTCCTCGGACAACGTGTCCACGGAGGACTCGGAACTGGACGACGAGCGGAGGTTGAGGAACGGCGGTATGTCCGCGTCGACTGCGTCGTTTTCGGACGCGGAATCGCGTGCGGCGAGGTTTGCCACGGACTCTAATGAAAGTAGCATGTCCGCTGAAGGGGTAGCTCTATCTCTGATCAGTCGCTTTAGCGAGAAGCAGCTGCCAAGGGCGAGCGAGCTGCAGTGGCTGGTCTCGGAGAAGGACGCGCCGCAACGCTTATTGCCGATGCCGAAGAGTTGGCCGGTCAGTCCCGACGAGGTCGAGATTGAAGACGCGCGGACTATTCCGTTGAGGGGGACAGTCGAATGGGCCCCGCCGCGCCCGCAGATTATTTTCACACCTCATCCACCACCGGTGTAAGTGCCAAGAGAAAAGAATAGTAATTTTTATAAACCTCTTAATGTTATTCTTTATTATCTTTTTATTGTCATTCTTAGATAATGAGAATATTGAGAGAGAGAGGGGGGAGGGGAGGGGAGAGAGAGAGGGGGGGGGGGAGGGGGGGGGGGGAGGGGGGGAGGGAGGGGGGGAGAGAGAGAGAGAGAGAGAGAGAGAGAGAGAGAGAGAGAGAGAGATGCATTACTATTATTTTTTATTATACTGATTGATCCTATAAATATGAATTCTGCGAATATCTTTAAAATATATATAAATTCTAGTAACAATGCAATCTACATTAGATCTCATTGCGTATACAAACTCGTTTATCTTCACTCTATCTATTTGTATTCTTTCTCCTCGCGGCAACTCCGCTTGACAATTTTTTTTGCTTAGCCAGTGCTTTGATTTTAAAAATTTTTTTAGAAGACGGATGCTGATAGCGAAGCAGAATTATAGGTGCGCGGGTTGCGGCATGAAGGTCGCCGTGAAATATGCCAATCGGTTTCGGTACTGCGAGTATCTGGGTCGATACTTCTGCACTGGCTGTCACACGAACCAGGTAGCATTTATACCTGGGAAAATTCTATCGAAATGGGATTTCAACCGGTAGGACCTCTTTAAAAACTGCTCGCCAAAACTAAACGAACGCGTTTCGATGTTTCTTTAATGTTTCTTGACGCTCTGCAGGTATCCCGTATCCAACTTCTCATATCGATTATTGGATCAAATGATGTCGGACCCGCTGTTTCAAGTGAACGACTTGAATCCGCTATTATACAGACGAATAAAGCAACTGGACAAAACGAGACTCTTGCGCACAAAATTATTCTTCCTGAAGGATTTTTCCTTCGCATGTCGGTTCGCGACCAGGTAAATCTTTTTTTTTTGCAATTTTGAAATTTATGTTGTGAATAGATATAATAGTTCGATGGCATCCACTTCTATGTTATAGTCTTCAAGACGTGCTGAAGAAGGAACCAAATTACATCATAAACGATCCACATGTGTACTCGATTCAAGACCTAATAAACGTCAAACTCGGTGTGCTGTGCGCCAGGCTGCAGGAGCTTGTTCAAATTTGTTGCGCACACATTGTAGATTGCGAGGTATCCAATAATTCAAAAATTAATTTTTATTTTAATCTTCAATTTAATCTAAAAGATTTAGTTTTGCAAACGATTATATTAATATTAAAACAGCTTAATTAGACTCTTTTAAGTTCAAGTTTTACTTAAATGAGACTTTTTTAACAGCAGAATATGCAATATTTAATAAATTTAATAAGATTTTTCACTCAATTTCTCATTTATTTTATTCTACATCGATAAAATTGTTCATCCTTAGATACCGAATGACTTGATTGTTAGGCAGAATTATATCTTATGTATTCTCTTTCAGTTGTGTCAAGCTAGAGGATTTGTCTGCGAGCTATGTTGTTCTAAGGATGTGATATTTCCGTGGGATCTGTCAAAAGTGACACGATGTGAAAAATGTGGCGCGTGCTTCCATATCGATTGCAAGCACAGGTCCGACAAACTCGAGTGTCCTCGATGCATGAGGTTGCACGCCAGACGAATTTCGAGGGACGAGAAGCCCTGACGAATGACGAGAACGTTCTTTGTTACGCTATTTAGAATAGGATATGTATATTAAAGCACGACAAGCCATTCAAGTCCAGAAGACATCTTATAAGACTTATGCCGGGCAATAAACAATTGTAAGGAACGTTTAGATTTTTTAGGTGTCCTTAGGCTTTGATTTTATCTGAGATGTTATTACTAATATGTAAAATATATTTAACAACACATATTCAAGAGATTAAAATATCTTGGATATGGTATTTAGACAATTTGTTAGATACTATAAAGTGAAAGTCAATTCATTCGAGCTTAATTATGACTTCTAACATATTCGTAGAAAGCTGCAAGACTAGTGAAGGACGGACTGTAAATCTCGGACAAAAACGTATACTAGGGGTAGGGACTCGTAGTAGAAGTTCAGATTTTTTTTATCCTCTACTCACGTAACTAAAAATACTACTTGTGCCTCAGTCTCGAAAAAAGGATATTGAGTGAACGAGACATACATACATTATAGCGAAGACTGAAGCATTGTGATATATACATATTGAATTTCAATTTTCTTTCGAACAATCTGCAAACGAAAGATGTCCACAGGATGTCTTTAGACATCCTCTGTGGATACTCAGAGACGTATCGATCTATGAAAAATCTTAGATGTATAAATCGAGTAATTTATTACAGAACATACACACACACACACGACTTTATTTGCCAAGCAAATTAACAATATACATCATATTTCAAGATAAACTGTTATAGAGAAAGTAATAAACTTTTAAAAAGAATAATAATATATAATATATAATATATATATATATATATGTATATATATAATATATATACATATACACGTAATAAATTTTTTTCAAACCTGTTATACATTCATGTAGTTAACTCTTTTGATAGACTTGGATAGAGAAGTTTTAACCATATTTATGCATGTTTATTCGAGCATAGCAAACATGAACGAAAAGTATTATTTCCTTGAATTTATTTTATAAATAGCAATAAGATTCTCGAGTAGCCGATAGTAATTTTATAGCTGCAGATATTATCAATTAACACAAATAATATAAAATTATTATGTAAAAGTCGAATCTAATAATAGTAAGCACGTACCTGATTTTTACTGAATTTAAAGTTTGTATTGTTTACTTATGGACAGCTTTAAAAAGCGAAAAATTAAAATTAGAGTAAATAGATTTAGTGAGAAAGAAATTTTGACGTTTCTCTCTTTGTTACATTCTCTCACACGACATAGCTCTAATTCTTGATATAATAATTATTAACAAAATATTTATTTAAAAAAGCATGTAAATAAAGATGTAAGATTCGAACAATTGCTATTAATATAAAAGAGAAGTCGCAATTTACTTTTAGAATAGAGATTGATTCGCAAATATCGATCTCTGTGATACATAATAGTGATTCAATAATCGGTTTATTTGACTAAGAACGAATTAACAATGAAATAAGATTCCTTCTCCAATTACTTCCAGATAAAATAATGCACAAGCTAATAAGTGTTCTTACGATTTTATTAAATTACATCTTATTTATAATGCACATACACACATCTTTTATCGCAGCGTAATAAACGTCAATTTATCGATAGTAGAAAAATATATTACTAATTATATACACACTAGCCTAATTTAGACCAAATTTTATGATCGCGCATGTATCTTATATTTATATATAATATATATATTCATTACATCAATTTACTTTGATCTTGCCTTAATTAAATAGTGGTACAATATATATACAGATGAAAATCTGCGATTGATTATATATGTACAGTATATGTAATTTTTATTTATCTATATTCGCTTTTTTTTTTGAGGTAACTAAGAAATCTAACGACAGTTAATGTTCCGGAGGTGCGCGTTACATTATCATATTTTCGCATAAAAGTATTAATATAAATACTGTATATAAGTAATTTTGCTGGATTTGCTGCTCAAAAATTACTGCATGTATTATACTGGGTAGCTATAAAATTCCTTTGTTTCATTTTTCAAATACGCTCTACATATTCACCATATACTGAATATTTGAGCATTTCTTTCATTCAAATAAGAAGTACAAAGGGTGTTGCGCGCGGGATTTGGGTTATGAGAGCAATCGAGAGCATATTGATCTACCGGGTAATTAATTACATATGTATATATTCTTATTTTTCTAAGTTACTTTATTTTTTGTACACACTAAAAGATTGTTATATTATTTTTGTAAATGCTTTATCTTGTATTTCTTCGCATTAAAGATATTTAATGCTTCGTCTCTCTTGTATTTCTTCAAATTATTCAAAATATAAATAAATACTGATTATATAAGTAGATTATATTGTAAGAGTTCCAAATGTGATAAGCAATCTCCCCGTCGAACGCAAGAATGTGATAGGTTCATTTTAGATGCAAAAATCATATTCGAAATAAAACGTCCAAGTTATGGACTTGTTTCATTTTTTTTACACCGAGCCCTTCAGTTAGAGATTTCGTGGCCACCCTGTATTTAGGGAAATAAAAATGCACGACACACGCACTTATCGTTTCGGTTTTGTGACATTATGAGAGAATGTTAATATCACAGATCGTTTTTTCTCATTTCTATTTCTATTGATTGATTTCTATTTTTTTTTACCTGAATTGTTCTCGGAAAAGAGAATTATGTCACCCAGTACGCTTTTACAGGTTTCGAAACGTCGGGTCTATGGATTGCGAGTTTTTCTTTTCGAATTTATAATCACGCTTAGTTTTGGCACGCAGGAGTATATAAATCAACCTTTTCTCCTTTAAATTTTAGAATAGTGAACTATAGGTATATCTTCGTAATGATAAATTAACGATAGCTTAACTGGTGTGTAAATTTTAGATATACCTCGTATAATACCACATTTGCCAGCGGAAATGGCTGACATTTGCCGCTCAGAAATTGAGTAATTACGTGTTTACGATGGAAAAGAGATCTTACTTCGCGAAATGTACAAAACAGGAAGTTTACATTGTATCTAACCGAATTGCCATAATGTAGAAATAGAACGAGATTAGACACAGGCTATCCTGTCTCGAATTGAATTTTTACCTCGTCTGATCGTCTGCGATTAAATATCTCATTTTTCTTAAGCAAGACCGTGTAACAGAAATTTTAGTTTCTCATCAAACAACATAAGCTTCATTCAGTCTACATACAGTCGGGCTTCCGCTATGCGTTTCCTTACCGGAAATTAAGTCAGTTTCTCTATGTTCTTCCTCCTGTTCTTCAACTTCCAATATTCTAATGATTAGGACGTCAATATTGGAATGTGTGGAGACTGTGAAGGGGAAAGACAAGAAAAGCCAAGCTTGATCCTGACAAGGAAAAAATACGGAGACCTAACTGTAAATACAACAATGATACGTAACAACGCGCCACACCTCTTTACATGGCAGTATCTCCGGTGAAACCTGTCGCACAATCATTTCGTGTAATCATGTTCGTATTATCAATCGGCGATTGGTAGTACAATCCTAAAATATCTTTCGTCGTGAAAGACATCGAAAAAAGATTAAGATTAATTACGAGGAGACAGGCTGAAAAGCAACGCACACGGTCAATTATCCTGAGGCACAAGATAGGGACAGTATGTTGTGTTCGTTCAATTACTCCTAATAAATGTGCAAAAAATTTGCTCTATTCGATGATTCTCAAAAAGTACATGTCTAAATAGTTAAGCATATTATGTTAATTAGATTTAATACACGCAATTTAATGTTTAGTCATTGTTTAGAGTGTTGAATTGATATTATTACTCGAGGCACGGTGGACCCTCGGAACAAAACAGAATAATGAATTTTCTTCGCTAGTGTATAGAATAACAAATAAGCAACTTAATCGACAGACTGGCAAAATTTTATAAATATGAAGCCAAATGCTTCAAAATCATGTGACAATAAAGCCTGCTGCGACAGATGTAAAACATTCAATTTAGGTTGATGAATCTGCCGTCGTGGGATTTGCATCTCTCTTCTCAAAAGGTGTGTCTTACTCTTCCGTGGATGGTAAAGCTAAGCGAACGGCGTTACGCATAAAAAATTTTTCACTGGGAAGAATTTATGTGGTTTATAAGGCAATCATGTAAAAAAACAGATAAATTTTATTCTTTTCTTTCCTTTAAATTTTGAAAACATACATCTTTTCATTTACGAGCAATTCGATCGAGCACATGTGCATTACTTTTCAGTCTATTCTCGCTTATTGAAAAAACCCGATGAAATTTCGGGTTGAGAATTCATCTCGCAAGGTACAAAAGCGTGGCGCTAAAATAAATTTTTAATAAAAAAAAGAAAAGAATTAGTAAAATGACTTATACAAATAGCAAAGACTGTAAAATGATATAGATTACTGCGTCATATATGTATATATAAATAATAATAATAAAGATAATGAGAGTCAATATACTATCTAGTGTACTCGTAAAAAACTCAATGAGGTTTCGCGACAAAACTTTTTGACATGCATTCGAGATTTTTTACGTTTTTTACGCCTTTGTTTCACGCATTATACAATTTAGAGAGCAGCGCCGCTATTCGCATGCTAATGATCACTTAACTAAGGTCTAGGTTGTCCAACAATTCGATACGCGACTAGTCTTAATTTCTAATGCTTTGTTATCAAGATGATTCATCTGCCTGTATTTATATACTGAATTTGGAGCACTTTTTTTGACTTACTTCAGTACTCTTTCTATTTATATGTCTAAAGTCTCTTTTAGGGGCAGCTTTGCTACTTCAAAGAAAATCCTAGAATGCAAATAAAATCGAATAAACATTGGTCATTCACGAAAATATGTTTCAATATATGTATATATAAATTATAACGTGTGTAATATATAAAGTGTAACATGTTCAATATATAAAAAAAAATACATAGCAAAAAGTAAATACTTACTTGTGGCTGTACTTGCTGTGGACAGTCTTTAATGCTTCTTTGTGTTTCCTATGCAAACTCTGGTTTAAAAGATTGCAAATATCTCTTATGTCGTCAAGTTTATAACCGCTATAGTATTCTAATGTTGGATTCCATCCTCCCAAGTCCTTCATTAGCAACGCGAGTAACAACGCCGCCGCTGCCATTTTACTATCGCTAAACCTGATCATTGTATAATCCATCAGAGAATGTTCCAGTATGTACCGAGCCAGAGTTAACGTGGGCATAGACACCTTGGCACACTAGTTTCAGATAATAGTGATTGAATTAGTATAAGTTTATATAGATTCCATTTGAATAAGACTGATATTTTATACCCGATATAAATTGTTAACTTTGTGAATATCTTACCCTGGCATAACGTCGAAGAAATCTGTAAGAGAGAGGTATTCCCAGGTCAAAATTGACTATCTTTAAAATACTTATTTCCATTTTGATCAGCTCCCTTTGCGTGTAAGCGCCGTCACATATATACAAAAAATCTTCCACCATTGGTGGTATTCTTTCCTGAAGTTAAAATTAAGAATA